TATAATGAAGAATTAAGAAATTCCAAGGCTCCATTTAACTGTCAATCCTGGTCATTTGATGTTGTGTTTGTCGATTATACAATTACAGATGAAAGATTAGCTTATTTATTAGAAACCACAAAAAATGTTACCACCATCATCAACATCAAGATTCGAAACAATCATTTTCGAAACAGCATTTTCTTGATAACAAAACAATAAAATGGCACTGTGTAGAAAACAGTAAAAACGAATATGTTCAACTGTGAACAGAGTATAGTTAAATATAACATTTCGAGATCAAAACGAAAGATGAAACCAAAAGTGACACTATGTTTTTTCGTGATTGATGAAAAGAAGAAAAACAGTAGGAAAGTAGAGAATAGCCGAATAGGGAATACCAAATGTATCTGCTACTAAAGATAAAAAAATATAAATAAACATGATTTTAGATGAGGAATAGCTGATGCTTGCGCGCTGTTACTAACGCTCCTATTGGTTCATTTTTTCTGGATAGCAAAAACCATCTTCATTAAATTGTTTAACATATTTTGAATAAGCACTAGCTTTTAAATGCCTTGCTACATCACGAGAAAGTTTCCATTTTGTTGTCATTTGCACCGGTGCACGTAGACGTTTAAATGATTCAAGATAAACTGACAATGAAATATCAGCCTGAGAAAGAAAGATATAATCCTTAGTTTATATGATAATAATGCTTGAATGACCCACATAAACATACAAACTATCAGTAAAATTGTAGATGTCTCGTACTGATTGGGATGCCGGACAACATCTGTTATAAAAACAAGAAGAACTATGATTACAATTGGACAAATAGCAACGATGTACTTTAAAAGCCCATGATGATACATTTCTTTTCCAGTTTTTGTACGTGATACAAAGTAACGACCTTCTTCGATCATGTCTTTTTCCACTAATAGATCTTTGGACGATTGCATCGCGATGATTATTTCGCATATCGGATGATGTCAAAACAACCGGTGGGAATAACATCAGTTTTTCAGCTGCTTTCCTAATTTTTTTGTCAACATATTTCCGTTTATCAGAGGCACCAGAGGGTTCTATAGGAGAAAGAAGATCCAGTTATAATAGTGTTTAGTGATCGAGTATAAGAAAAACATTACCTAAATCATTAGTTTCCACTTTCTCTCCATGCTGCTCATATGCATCAAGTGAATGTTCAACACTATCTGTTAAATTGTGTTTATATGTTACGATAAAAATGTAACAGATTCTTTTTACCGGGCAACAAAAATTAGGAGAATAAATGCTCTTACTTTTTTCTCGCAATCGACTACTAACATTTATATCGTTACTCTGTTCTTCTCGGTCACCCAAGTTAGCAACGATAGCATTTTCATTTCCATCTTCAGTACCATCGTTGTCTTCATCGTCAACTTGTAAAAAAACGAAAATGAGGATATTCTTGAAGAGTATACGATAAAAATGACTTTTTTCTGCTCTGTATTTTTAACACTTTACTCAAAAGGATGTGGATTTACGTACTAAAACGCTTATGAACAGAAAAAAATAAAACGTAAAAATGGCGTTTTCATCGTGTGTCGTGTAAAAGATATTCGAGAGAAAAGTAGAATGATATGTGCGTATTTACTATTAGTTGAACTTGAATAATAATCTACTGATAAATGATTGCCAATTTGTCGAGCAGCAACGGGAGGCACATACTTAGATTCTGTTGATGAATTAGAATCAGATGATGTGTTGTGTGTTTCTTCTAAAAAAGGTGATATGGAATATATTTTCTTCGACATATCATCCACAATCCAATAGAATGATAGAGCGATTTAACGCCACCTTTATTCCGCAAATAGCTAAATTACAAGACTCGGAATATAACAACTGGGACGAGTTTTTAGATCCAGTGGTATTCGCCTATAACACTGGTGTTCGTTTGTCCACAAAGTTCTCACCATATGAACTACAATTTGGGAGAAGGCCGCGTTTCCCGATCGATCCACCGCCAACACAGCTGAATTTACCAAATCCATCCGATTACTATACTCAGTTAAATAAATCCCTTAAATTATATCAATTATATTCACGTGGAAATATGATCAACCAACAAGATCTTTCTACTATAAGATACAATAAAAATAGAAAAGACAAACATTATAATATAGGGGATTATGTTTTAACAAGGATCCAAGGAAATCATTTGAAATTAGATCCACGATTTCATCCTACTCCAATGATTATAATCAAAGGAAAACATCCAACATATATTGTAAAAGATCCAGAAACAAACAAAACATCACAAATTCACGTAAATGACCTTCGTCCTATTTTGGAGGTCAATTTAACACCTTAACATTGATTTAAACATTCTCCATTATTAAAAAAAATCTTCCTCAGTTATTCTATTCATTTGGTTATGAATGTGTTTTTAAACTCTAAATTCATTTGCTGACGAGTGAAAGTTGCCGAACGCTTTGGATTTGAAAACATAGTTTGAATTTGTTTAT